TTGGTTGACAGACTTAGAAAAGCTTCCAATAAATAAAAACGAATATTGATATGATCCTTACGTAACAGGAACTGGCAGTGAACCAACCATGATCCATCTGCATGGCGTTCTAAACGCCGGCTTCACTTCCTGCGGAACTACAAGTTGAATTGCAATTTCTCCATTAAAAGTAATGGGGGCCTCCATCAACTTGGTCAGCATGCAATAATCAGAAGCACCCATGTTTTCTTCCTTCTGCGGTGTAGCACATGCAATAGTGCCTAGTGTATTTGAACTTGCCTTCAACTTTAGTCCTTTCTTCTTATCACCTGCCAGTTTATGAACATGTGACATGGTAGCAGAGGCAGAACTAGAGCTAGTGTCTAATGACAGGACATCATCACTAGTATTCACATCAAGAAACATGGTTGTTTTTTAGTGCATCAGATTGTAACCTGTTGGGCTTTCACCTTGTTTTGGCATCTGAAAGTAGTATTGCTGGATTAATTTTTTGCAAGATTAAAGGCGGCCAGTGTTGATCAGATCTCAGATTTAAGAAACCTGTTTTTTATAGGCCAAGCTACACCTTCAATAATATGGTCTATTGTAAAGATTATATCCATTAAAATTAATGTGAGCAGTGGTCATTGCTAGTGGAAAGTACTGATTAAACTCTATTGCTACCTTTTCATGTTTTACCAAGTGCGCATGTCTTTCATTCTTCTCTTTTTCAGCTTTTGGTGGTGATGTACCCTATCCATAAATGACCTGAGCAACCAGGCAAGTGAAAGTTAGAGCAATCCCCTCCATTTCGCCTTGGCGTTTTAAAGTCGGCACTCACAATTGTATCATGGAGTGTTACCATCGGCCTAGGTAAGGTAGTTCAGACTTTCAGCAACTATATACAAGCTAGTCTACTTGCCAGTACTTCACTAGCACTCCAAAGTTGTTAGATGTTGTGAATTTCATGTTAGCATTCACCCAGTTATTGTTTTCTTTCTCTTTCTGGTTTCTGCGCATTCTCTTATTGTTCGGCTCCATCTTGCACCCATTGTCCAACTAATGTGGAGGCATTGAACATGAGAGCGTTTCTGTGTGTCCTCTGTGGCAGGGTTACGTCATTCCCGGCCATGCCCTTTTTTAATCTATATACTCGAATACCAGAACCGCCTAAAGTGTAACACTGGCTGATTACTTCAAGGTCAATATATAGTCTTCCAGTTGACAAGATACTCAGCAGAGAATGACATCCCTTAACTTTATCCCATCTTCTCCTTCACCAAGATTTTTTTCTTGAGATAAAAAATATTATTTTTCTTCAAATGCTGTCTATTTTCTTGATTATTCATTTGAACCTGAACTTTTTATTTGGCAATAGTTTGATACCCTCTTTCGATCAAAATTTGTGAACATGGATTTCTAGTGCATCTGGATTGTAATCCTGTTACCTGTTTTGGCTTTTAAAAGTTGTAATTGGTGAAACATATCTCTGATGCAAGAGCGAGGACAGCTTGAGTTTATCAGATCTCAGGTTTGAGAAACTTGTGGTTTATATGCCAAGCTACATCATAAATGGTATCTTTGGTTACAAAAAACTGCATGCATTCATATCAAATGTATGCACTTTTCTATTGCTACCGAAAATATTAATATAACTCCAGAGCTACTTAAACTTTCTACTCTTCAACTTTTAGGTCTTGAGTATACAGATCTTCATTTTCTTTTTTTCCAACCTCTGGTACTTATATATGCTGCTCATGGATGACCTGAGCAACCAGGCAACCTTCCATCTACTTTATCCGGTTTGTTGCAAGGATAGCATCCAGAAATGTATTGACCCTGCACTCTATTTTTGCTATCTTTTCTATACTCACTTTGAATCAAAATTTGACTAACTCGACGTGTTAGGTGCATCAGAATTGTAACTATGTTACATTGTTTTGGCTTTTGAAAGTTGTAATTGCTGAAACATCTCTGATGCAATAGTGAAGACAGCTTGAGTTTATCAGATCTCAGGTTCGAGAAACCTATGGTTTATAGGCCAAGCCACACTGCAAATGTTATAATAAAATATAATTCATCCCGCTCGCCAGCTTCTGGTGGTGGTATTTCTGTCCACAAATTACCTGACCAACCAGGCCATGAAAAATTAGACCTGGAGTAACATTTCTGCACTCTACCCAAGACGTTGGAAAACTGCATTTACATTTGTGATTCGTAAGACCAAGTATTGGCACCAGACCAAGTTAGATGTTGTTTTGAGTTTTTATCCCTGGAGTATATTTTGCAATCTCTTTCATACACGCTTGCAATCGAAACTGAGAAACATGATTTTGTGAGCACGTCAGGACTATAATCCGGTTACCTTGTTTTGGCTTTTGAAAGTTGTACTCCCTCCTTTCCGGTTTATAGGGCCCAATTCAAAAATCTCACCAACCAAGGTAGATGGTGAGTGGTGGAATATTTTTTGTAGTTTGCAAAAGCACGCAATTAATGTTCTTGTTTTCCTTAAAATATTATGTTTACCAATGCATTAATTGCAATGCATGCATGCATAAAGTACATGCATTGGTCAATTTTCTCTTAATACTTGCATGCAATGATTTAATGCACCTTGGAATCTGAACATGTGATGGGGAACAACCAAATTGAGCCTTATAAAATGGAAAAACTAAAATTTTGAGATAAGCCCTATAAACCGGAAAGGAGGGAGTATTGCTTAACCATATCTTTGATTTTTTTTGGAAACATGGTTGTAGTAGTGTGTCAGGCTGTATCTTTTTTTTAGTATCATGTTTGTATTCTAGTTCATCAGATTGTAACCTCTTACTTTGTTTTGGCATTTGAAAGTAGTATTGCTGGAACATTTTTATGCAATATTAAAGACAGACTGTGTTTAGCAGATCTCAGGCTTAAGAAACCTGTGATTTATAGGCCAAGCTACATCTTCAACAACATGTTTCGTTATAAAGATTATACCATCATATTAATTTTAGTAGCTGTCATTGCTAGTGAAAAGTATTGATTGAACTCTCTTGTTACCTTTTCATGTTTTATCAACTGCAGAGCTCTTTCATTACTCTCTTTTCAGCCTCTGGTGGTGATGTATACCCTGTTCATAAATGACCTGAGGAACCAGGCGAGTGAAAATTGGAGCAACATTCCTCCAATTCACCTCAGATGTTGCAAAGACTGCACTCACAATTGTAATGGGGTGTTGCCATCAGCCCTAGGTAAATGGTGATTCAGATTTTCAACAACTATGTACAAGCTACAGTGTGCATGCCAGTAGTTCACTAGCTCTTCAAAATTGTCAGATGTTGCGAATTTCATGTTAGCATCCATCTAGTTGTTGGTTTCTATCCCTTTTCCCCTGTTCTGTTTTTGTTCAGCAGTAAATGTGCTTCTATTTGTATTCATCTTGAGAACTAGATCTCCATCTTGTAGTCATCACTGTTGAACTAATGTGTAGTTGTGGCAGTTTACTTTTTTTTCTGGACCATGTCCTTTTTCAATCTGTTCATGAATACCATAACTGCCTGGATTTTTCAAGGTCAACACATAGTCTTCCAGTTAACATGGTACTCCCTCCGTCCGAAAAAGCTTGTCCCTCAAATGGATGTATCTAGTACCAAGTTAGTATAGATACATCCATTTGAGGGACAAGCTTTTTCGGACGGAGGGAGTACTCAGCAGAGAATGGCCTCCCATAACTTTATCCCCATCTCCTTCACCAAGAATTATCTTCTTCTAATATTGTATATTTTCTTGATTATCCATTTTTGAACTTGTGCTTTTTATTTAACAATAGTTTGATACTCTCTTTCAATCAAAATTTGTGTGCATTTGGAATTCTGTGTTTATACGCTAAGCTATACCATAAATGGTATCCTTGATCTGTAAAACTACATAGTACATTCATGTCAATTTTATGCACTTTTATCTTGGTTATATTAACTGAACTGCAGTGCTACTTAAACTTTCTACCCTTTAACCCTCAAGTGCACAGACCTTCATTCTTTTTTTTTCCTCAGCTTCTGGTGCTGATATGTCCTTCTCGTGGATGGCTTGAGCAACCAGGCGATCAAAAAATTAACCCAGAGCAGCAACCTTCTGTCACTCTACCCAGTTGTTTCAAAGGCAGCATCTGGAAATGTAAGACTTAAGGCATTGGCAATGGCACCAGCCCAAGGTAAATGCTCATTTGGGCATTGACCCTGCACTTCTCTTTTGCTGTCTTCTATACTCTTAACCTCTTCGAATCAAAATTTGAGTAAGTTGACGTGTTGGGTGCATCAAAATTGTAACTTTGTTACATTGGTTTGGCTTTGAAAGTTACATTGCTGAAACATATCTTTGATGCAAGATTGAAGACAGCTTGAGTTTATCAGACCTCAGGTGTAAGAAACCTGTGGTTTATAGGCCAAGCTACACCTTAAATGATAACTAAGATTACACAATCTATATCTTGATTTTATACAGCCTACATCTATATCGATGAAGCTCTTGCTGCTTTTTGATGTTTCACTCGGTGCACAGCTCTTTCATTCTTCTCTTTTTTCATTCTTGTCAGCTGCTGGTGGGGATATATCTTTCTCATAGATGACCTGAGCAACCAGGCCAATGAAAATTAAACCCAGAGCAGCAACCTTCCTCCATTCCGCCTCTGGCGTTGCAAAGACGGCATTTGCGATTGTAAGACTGAGTATCGCCATCAGTGCAAGGTAAATATTCACCCGAGCTTTTGACCCTGCACTCTCCTTTGTTATCTCTGTGACCTTCTGTGCTTCGATCCTAGCCTTCACCTTGATTTCCTCATTGTTTTGAGGTTTTTGGACCTTCCCAAGGCTTTTGAAGAACATGCCTTCGTTTTTCTCCTCTTCAATCCAATCTTCGAAGTCTTCTAACACCCTCTCGTTCATTTCTATCTCCTGCCTTTGCATTTCAGCTGTCTCCTCGTAGGACTGCATCTTGCTGTCAAGACGCTCCATTATCTACCACATCAGAAATGCAATTCTCTGTCAGACACTAAATGAAGAAGCAATATACTGTTTAATCCGTCCATGACAAGGGATGCTCACCTGGTCCCCAATTTGATCGAGCTCTTTCATGGCGTTCTGCCCAATCATATCAAACTCGGTGTCGGCGTCCTTGGTGAACTTGGTCAGGTAAGCAGACCGCTCATCCAGGAAGTTTGTGATGCGGACCTTCTGCGTCTGAAGCATGGCGATTTTCGCAAGCACCTCCTGCTGGCGTTGGTCACCGCCGTGCGGCAGGGGAGCATCGGATCCATCATCTTCGGAGCTGCTCTTACAGATGGAAAATCTCCTCCTGCTTAGTTGCAGGGCATGTCGGCGCAGAGAGGATCTGCGCGGCGAGGGAAGGGATGTCTGAACGGTGTGAAGAGTAAGCATCTCCTCTTGATTCTCTGGGTCTTTGGTATGCTGCTGCTTTTGGTCTGCAGAATAACCGTGGCGGAGTTTGTTTCTGCACCTCTCGTTGCCTGGAGCTGGGAACGATGTCCACGAAGCCATGCTGCTGTGCTACATGACAAGACCAAGTTGCCCCTTGCGTGCTGCGTGTTCACTCAGGTCCATTTCAACCCATGCCACTTTCCCGGGGAATGGGACCCTGCCTCGTTTTGGTTCCTATCCATTGAGCCAAGTAGTGCTCTGTGTGTAGCCACCGTGAAATTGATGGAGCCCCACTAGCAGCCGTGCAATCATGAACTGGGCTGAAATATAGGTGCTAGCTGGGCCGCGCCTACTTGTTTTTTTGTACTACAACGAAGAGCTGGGCTAGCCTACAATGAATGGCCACCTACAACTTATCATTCGCCCTACGAAGCTACGGCCATGTTCCACAGACACGAATTATTAGTTGATGAATCCATGTGGCCTCTTGGAGTTAAATTTTTTGGATAGAAGGGGCCACACGGCCCCCATTTTCCTTACGAAAATCGAGTTATACATCATCCAGCCGACAACTCGACAACTATACACTTAACTGATGCAACAAACTGCAGCACCAAAAACGACAGCATACATCCTTATATCTAGATATACCTACACGTGCTCTCAGAAATTTGCACGGGACAACACAAACGACCACATGTGTGATTTGTTTCATCCTTTTTATTTATTCTGCAATTATAGACTGAAAATGCTTTGAGCACCTAACTACCAGTAGTGCGTTCTCGCATTCACCTGTGAAATGGAAACGGGAGCTGCTGGTGGATGGTGCTTTTTAATCTGCCCATCAAGCTTGGAACCTTATCCGTACTTGGTCCCGCTATTCCACAGCTATCGGTTGCATCAATGAGGCAATCGAGCAAGAACTGAAGAAGATGCTGTCCTTGAAACTTTTAATGCCAGAACTTCTCTCTCCGAGTAATCCACATCAAGCAGTTACTTTTGTCGAGCAAATTCCCAGAGTAGAGTTACGCGTCTGAGTGCTCATGAGCTGTACCCTTCCGTCCGCCCCACCACATGCGCCGTGTGGTCGAAAGCGCAGAAATGGCCTGCACGATCATGAGACCCGGCCTTGCGCCCATACATACCACCTGTACCTATCTGCCTACAGGAGTAATGACGCGAAGCAAACGAACATGCAGATGCCGGGGGCTTGTGCCGCAACTAGGCCCGTATTTAATCTTATCAGGAGACGCTTTCGGTACACCTCCAAAATCGAAATCCCCGGCTGCGTCGTTAAGGCCCCCTCCCAATGCACCACCTTGTGCATGTGCTAAGCTTTTCATGTAGATAAAGAAAAATTGATGTGGCAAGTTATTTAGAAGGAGAGAAATGTGTATGATGATTCAGGAAGAAACAATGCTAAGCGCGTGAATCTAGGCAAAATATTTAAAGAAAGAAAGCCCATCAATACATGAAGAGCTTTAATTACTAAATCATTAAATGAAGCAAGTTTAACAACCATAAGCTAAGCACCATTAAAGACTATAGTTGTTAAGCTATTTAATGTGACTCATCTAAGCACCCATGCATTCGCAGCGGCGGCTTGGCTCGCTCGACGCGTCGCTGTCCGCTCTCGCTCCGGCTCCGGGCTCTGGACCGCGTCGATGGAGCCTCCCAGCACTGCACCTTGTCCAACTTGATGCCGCAGGAGTCACGGACGGCCGGGTAATAACAATTAAGTAATCGATTCGGTTCCTCAGCTGTGAGGCCTCGTCGTCATCTCTCCTCCCGCAGTGGTGCAACGTATTCGCACCGATCTTATCCCTTTGGCCGTTCCACGCAATGGAGCGGTGATACGTGCGTGCCGCCATCGGGAGCGCGAGAACAAGTCACCTTACGTCCTTATTACTAGTACTCCAATTGTGTTTTGTACAGCAGTGCAAGCCGGTTGTTGCAGCGGTGCAGCTTCTAGAAGTAATGTGTCCTATATCGAGAGCCAGAGGTCACGGTCTTGTGCACTGTTATTCGACGATGATGGCTCCAGAATGTCACATTCAGGGAGGTCTACACGTACGTAGGGGCGAGCCGAGTACGGACGCACAACCCTGCGTAGACTTTCCGCCACAGGAATTGGTACTAGTGGTTTAACACGCGATCCAGTAATCTATTCCCTCGTTCCAGGCGGCATACACTGCATCAAGGCAATGCGTATCTCCTGGAACACGCGTGCTGTTTACGCACTGTCGGCACGCTTCATTATTTTTCTTGCCACTAGCTAATTTTCCGAAGTGTAGACGAGCCGATTTGGTTTCCGTTTCAGAAGAGTGACGATGCCCAAGAGGTCAAATCCCTGTAAATCTTCCGAGTTTGAACGATGGGATTTAAATCTCTCAGCCACTGCCAGCGACCAACAGACGCGAATTAACTCGGTGCAGTACCCGTATCTCTCGCCAAATTTAATTATGTGCGTCCATACGTACTGTACTAGTACGGCCGAGCTCTCTGACGGACTGCGGACCGTGGCCCGCATGTCGGCCTCCGTGGGACCTCATCCCCGGGGGGCCACGTGGGCCCATGTGCAGCGGTTGTATACCGACGGGGACCTTACCTCCAGGTGGAGGGTGCACCCGAGCAGTACGTGCCGCTGCCTGCGCTGGTCCGGATTCCCCCGGTCGAGATCCGGCTCCGGCACAGCGCACACTGCACAAGATATTTGTCTCCGCCCCCAAGGTACGGTACGTGCATCGTATAGAAAGGTTGCGTCGTAATCCAGTTTTTGTGTACACTGAAATATCTGAACCCACTGTGCAGTTTCTTGACGGACGTGCCGCTGCGATCTGCTTGTCCAACTGCAGCCGTCCACACGTTCAGAAAGAACTTGCTGTGGAATCTACTACTCCGACGAGATTAAGATCACGGCAAATATCTGGAGTGAATTATTATACTAGTATTAGGCGGTGGCAATTTCTTTTGTTCTACGAGCCTGTGCTGTGCCTCGAAAAGGTCAATGATTCTCCCTGATGGCGCCGGCCACTGTCTACGAATTCAGTGCACTTGCTCTTAACTTATCGCGACGCTGATGCAGACGATTTTGATGGGGCAGTACAGTAGTGGTACTACGGCTAAGTAGGCATCTCTCCGTAGCCTCCAAGGTTGGGAGACAGACGTAACAGCTGCGAACCGCTGTCGCTCTCGCGTACCGTCGGTCTGGATGCGCGGTCACGAGCTCAACTGCCTCGCCCTTCACCGGCCCCGGCTAGGACTGCTAGTAGGACTACTTTCTTTGGTTTTCGGTATCTATGCTTCATCCAACGAATGATGATTGATCAGTTGGGGTTTAAAGGTACTTTAGCCCGGAACCAAGCCATTATTTTAGAATCTGGCGGAGTTTGATTTAATTTTCATGTCTTTTAAAAGCAAGTAGCAAGTACTACAATAGAGTGACGTAGGCGGGTTATAAGAGATGTCACTTCAGATTTGTGTCTACTTGGAGGAGAGAGGAGAGGAGAGAGGAGAGAAGCGGGTCACAACTTACAGTCGGCTTGCTCAAACAGCTTGTCCTTGGCCTCGCCTCGCTGGAGCGAACGATTGCTCGCCAGAGATCGCGAATAACTTGGCTTCGGGAGGGGGATGCACACACAAAGCTGTTCCATTTGGTGGCGAATGGCAGAAGGATGAAGAACTATATTCCGTCGCTATTGGTAGATGGGCGCATGGTTACGGACCAAGCCGGAAAGGAGGCTGCGTTTTACGACACTTACAAGGAGTTGCTTGGGAAGGATGTCGCTCGTGAGTTCACCCTGGACCTGGACGAGCTTGACATTCAAAGATTTGACCTCTCGGATCAGGATCTTCATTTCAACGATGAGGAGATTTGGGCTGTGATCAGGAGCATGCCGGCGGATCGAGCCCCGGGGCCGGATGGCTTTATCGGCCTCTTCTTCCAGAAGGCCTGGGAGATAATAAAAGTGGATGTCATCGCGGCTTTGCACAAGCTTTTCATCGGAAACGGACGTGGGTTTGGCAGGCTGAATCAAACGTTGATCACCTTAATTCCTAAAACCCCGGAGGCATTAACCACTCTAGACTACCGCCCTATAAGCCTGGAGCATAGTCTACCGAAGATCGCTTCAAAGCTCTTGGCAAATAGGCTAAGTCCTCGGATGGGAGAGCTAGTTCACATAAACCAATCGGCGTTCATCAAGGGAAGAAGCATCCATGACAATTTCCTGCTAGTTAGGCAAATGGCGCGGCGATTACATCAGCGGAAGGCCAAAGGCGTGATGCTCAAGCTTGATATCTCGAAAGCTTTTGACTCCCTTTCGTGGCCCTTCCTTTTTGAGGTGCTCAGGGCAAAAGGGTTCTCGAACAGATGGATTTCCTGGATTAGCATCTTGCTTACGACTGCTAGCTCGAGAGTTTTGGTTAACGGCTGCGCCGGTCCAAAGTTCATGCATGCCAAAGGGCTTCGTCAGGGGGACCCTGCCTCCCCTCTGCTTTTCATCATGGCAATGGATGTTCTCACCTCTCTGGTCATCAAAGCGCACGAGCATGGGATCCTCAAGCCCATTGCCAGTTCTACCCCGATGCAGAGGCTCTCCCTGTACGCGGATGATGTGGTTCTCTACATTAGGCCAACTAGGCCGGAGCTGCAACTTGTGAAGGAGCTTTTGGGCATCTTTGGAGTGGCATCAGGTTTGAAAGTAAACTACGCAAAGTCAGCTGCAATACTCATAAGATCCGATGAGGAGGATGTGGAGCTGGTCAGGAGTGCTCTACCTTGGAAGATCGATTCCTTCCCGTGCAGATACTTGGGTCTACAATTAAGCATCAAGCAACTCAAACGCAACGAATGGCAACCGATTGTTGATGCGGCGCTCCACATCATGCCTGGCTGGCAGCGTGGGCTTGTCACCAGGCCTGGACGGCTTATCCTGGTGAATCAGGTCATGAGAGCGAGGCCTACGCACCACCTCATGGTTGCTGAGGCGCCAAAGTGG